AAGATTCTTAAATAATTTGTTAACACTGGACACGTGGACTTCTTTAACAAAATAGGAAAATACCACATGAATTTCCCTGTACACTTTATTTTATTTGTTTTTTTGACAGGCCTTGTACACTTTAATTGATTTGACAAAAGAATTATATTTGTGAGGAGTATCAATGTTCTCAATCAAGTGGCTTGTACACGTCCCAACCTCCATGCCTATGATTTGGAATTCAAATTTCGCAACTAAATACTCCGACGTGTCCTTGCATCTCCTGAAACCTAAATCTTAGTCTTCATGGGGTGTTCATAGTGATTGAGGGGCTTGACGACCAAGACGTGAGTTATTTATAAGCAAACGTTTTCTCAACATATATTCAATATTCTCGCTCACATATCTGTTTTAGAACATTTTTATATGTAGGAAGGTCGCTTAACTTTGAACTGTTCCAAACTAAACATGCTTTAAGCAGTCATATGAAGTTCTCTTTAGTAAATGAACTTCCGAAAAAGAATGAAGACTTAATTAGTATTGTTAGGAGCCAAAAATAGCCTCGTCATGTATAGAATAGAGGAATGTCACAAGGGACTAGGGTCTCACTTGAAGGCTTGAAAGAATGATAGACTTCTAGACTTAATCATGAAACTACGCTAATAACTACTACTCAACTGGAGTTCTTACCCATCTTAGGACCTTATGCATCCGATAGGTCGACCTTAATGAATTATTTGATAGTCGAAATCGCCGGTCGAATATCTTCTTGAACGTTATCCAACTTATAAATAGAGAGTCTCATTCCATTGTCAGGTATCACATTTTAGCTTGGTCTCATTAGTACCAAAGTCAAACTTAAATTGATTTGAGCTAGGGGTGAAAGAAACCAAATTGAACCGAACCGAACTACTTCAATCCGATTTCAGTTCGGTTTGTAAATCTTTAGGTCGGGTCGGGTCGGTTAATCAAAACCAAGGCATCCTTCCTTTTTTAGTCTAATTGAGCGTGTGCCGTCTCACTCTTTAGACCCCTCCGCTCAACATCTGAGACAAGCATACCCCATGGCGATCTTAACGGTAGACATCGACTACGACGGTAGTGCAACGACGGACAGCAACAGCGACGGTGGCCCAAGCGGTGGCAACCCATAAATCCTCCGATTGATTTTTGTTTGCAATGAGGCAAAAGTCTATCACGGTCTCAACAACAATGAAGTTCCGACCTTCTTCTTGCTGGAATTGACGATGCCAGGGGTTGCCGCTGGGCCGAGATTTGCGTGTAAATAGTGGAGGTCGATGGTGGTTAGGTTTAGTGCGTGTAAAGTTTCGATTTTGTTTGCGTGTAAATTGGGATTTGCGAGACTTTTGGGATCTTCTAATACACCTATTTTATTCTTTAATTTTTTTCGTTTGGATTATCTTCAAAGAGGTTTCCGATTTCATTTGAGTGTAAATTGATTGGCACGATTTTTGGGATCTTTTAATAAACCCATATTTTTTAATATTTCATTTTGGATTATATTCTAAGATTCAGCTCTACACAGAGTGATCAGCGCAAAGAGAAGAGAGAGGAAAAAAAAACGACGCCGACCCGACCGGTACCCAAACTGAGGATAGCCGAGTAAGTTGGATTCGGGTCTGTTTTCAATAGAAATCGACCCAAACCAACATATTTACACCCCTAATTTTGAGCATGGCAATGTCTGCTTCTCTCTTGTGCAAGTAGTTAGCGAATCGTTCAAAAAGAATTATTGTAATTCTTTCAACTTTTTCCCAGGAACCACCCTAAACTTTTGGGACATAATTAATCTCATTTGACCTAATCCGACCTTGACCAAAAGTTGCATAAACAAGTATTAATTTCTATTTCCATATTCGTCAAAACACTGAATCTAGTTTTTCCCCTATTTGGCATATCCTTAGGAATTAGGATTCCTTCCCATTGATGAGGTGGGTTAACCCTTTTTTTTTTTTATTTGTTTGTTTGAAAAGATATGTTTATTAAAATAAATCCACTTGAACAATAATTAAAGGGAAATCTCTCTTTACAATATCCAAAAGCCACCGAGGGAAACACTAATTAACACCAAGAATCCGTAGCTAAAGAAGAAACTCTCAATTTCTCAAGCATATAAGCACTCTAAACAACAATTATAAAAATAAGTTACTTTTAAACTATCTTTTATCTATCTCAACATTCCATCTTTTATTTCATTTTTTTACTTAATTTTAAATTTTCATATAATCAACTAATAAATTAATCTAAATATAAATATCAACTCATTGCCACATAAAAGAAGTATCAATATAGTATTTATAAGGATGTATAAACAATGTTTATACTTTAATTTATGAATCCTTACATCTTTGATATTAATAAGTAATGGAAAATTAATGTCATGAAGAAGTATGGGAGACTATTGATATTAATAAGTAAATACAAGGATGAAAGAGATAACTTAACCATGTTATTAACACTAAAAGTATCATTCTAATAAAATTAATGATTGGAATTAGAATTACCAACGTTAACTTTTCTTTTTTTTTTCCTAGTACAATATGTGGGGATGAGAAATGGGAGATGAGAGATCGAATGCACGAACTCCTGGTTGGAGATATATGTCAAGCCCTAATGTTTACTTATTAGTTTTCCAATAATTTCTTATATTTAATTTCTATAATTTGAAGCAAACAATTAAATAAATTGTTAAGATGATTATATACCTTCTCTTGATGTCAAAATATTTAAATCTTCACTCCATATTTATTATAAAAAAAAACTACCTTTATAATATTCTTATTTCTTAAACTTTGAAATTAAGAGGTTGTAATAGTCTTATTTCTTATTTTTAATTTTTTAGGAACATAAACACAAATTTATTTTATTTTATTTTATTTTATCAATTTAAACATAGTTTAGTGGTGGGATATTGTAGTTTGT